TCGCGTTCCAACGGGCGAATTAAAAGAACTCAATAAATTTACTATAGCCAATTTTGGGCTATACAACAGTGGTATCAAACTATTCGTAACGTGATTGGTTGAATATATCATAAGGGCTCTCTTAAGTTGGCGGGGGGAAATCAATTTTTTTAACTTTTTTATTGCCAAATCGTTTGTTCGTCGTTTGTTCGTGATTGTTCGATTAATTTTATTGTTTGTTCGTTGTTCATTTTTTTATAAATAATTTTCAAAATTTTGACCTAAACCTAGCCCTCAATATGATGGTATCTACGGTTTTTTTTTTTTTTTTCTATCATGAAAATTCTATCATGAAAATATATGCAAACTCTATAGTTAGGCATGCGCTTGCGCGCGCAAAATTCAATTCTAGTGATATAAAAGAAGAATACTCTAGTCCTAATATAAAATTGAGATGAAATGTATGTGAAGCCAATCTATTCGTGATGTGATTGGTCGAATATATCATAAGCATGAAAATATATGCAAACTCTATAGTCAAGGCGCGCGCGTAAATTTGAATTCTAGTCTCATAATAAAATTGAGATGAAATGTATGTGAAACCAATCTATTCGTGATGTGATTGGTTGAAAATAAATATTCTCATTCTGATTGGTTGAAAGTGAATATAATATACATCAATGACACATAAATATATCACGACAATAAATATGACGCGCGCGAAAATTCAATTCTAGTTCTAGTTAATAAAAAAAAGAGATGAAATGTATGTGGCATCAAACTATTCGTAACGTGATTGGTTGAATATATCATAAGCATGAAAATATATGCAAACTCTATAGTCAAAGCGCACGCTTGCGCGCGTAAATTCAAATTCTAGTTAACCAAATTCTAAATGAAAATCCAAGAAAAGTACCCAAGAATCTTGAATATCCGACCGCTTTAAATGACCTAATTAAATACTCGGGTACTTAGTTTGTCTCTCATCTTCAATTAGAAATTAATTTTTTCTTATCCCCAATCAGAATTCTCAAGAAAATCCTTAAGATAATGAAGTAAATAATATATAACCAAACCTGGACACCAAGCCGTGAAGCCAAAGCAGCTTGAGCCCGATTTTGGTCCAACCGAGTCATAGCAGTGAAGTTTTCCTTGGGAATACTCGGAGCATAATGAGAGCAAATCAAAGCATTGGTGTTGGCTGGATTGCCGACCACCAGAACCTTGATGTCTTTGCGAGCGAACTTTTCCAAAGCTTCGCCCTGATCTTTAAAGATCTTGACATTAGCCGCCAGAAGATCTTTACGTTCCATTCCCTGCTTGCGGGGCATCGCACCCACCAGGAAAGCTGCTGCTGCATCTTTGAAAGCCACTCCGGCATCAGCAGTCGGCAGAACGTCTACAATTATTTATAATTTATAATTCTCTTAGAATTAAAATCTTTACATTCTTCTAGATCTATCGATCGCAAAATAAAAGTACCGCGTAGCAGAGGAAGTGCCAAATCTTCAAGTTCCATGACAACACCCTGGAGGACATCCATCATTGGTTTGATATCCAGCAGACGCAAGTTGATTGGCTGCTCTGGACCAAACACCGACCCAGCTGCTAATTGGTACAGCAGTGAGTAAGCGATTTGACCCGCTGCTCCAGTTACTACGACATTTATCGGCTCCGCCTGTTAAGTAAACAAATAATGATAATTAGATGATGAAAATTAGAATAATAAATTAATTTGGACTTGGACTTGGATTTAATTCATTAGCAGGGTTGATTAATTTTATAAAATTAGATGGAAATTTATTGGACGTTCGCCAACAAATAGGTCAGAGCCAAGGTCAAGTTGAGGTTATTTTAATGAACCTTCTAATCAATGATTCGGTGATGTAAGATGGTCGATTACCAACACCGCTTTTTTATCATTTTTATTCATTATTTATTATAAAATATTTTATTTTATTATTAATTAAGTAACTTACCATTTTAGATTGAGCTCCTGTTTTTTTTTTAGTTAAACCTGATATTTAAAGCAAATGACGGCTCAGAATGTTGAAGATCCACGTCCGAGAAAAGACACTTGACGATTGAATCCGAGTTCTGAATGGGGAATGGAACCAGGAATTTGTAGAATGACGAATGATGGCTCTGCTGGAAAAATGACAATTTTTTTTATTATATTTTCTTGCGGAAACTGTTTTATTGGCAGTTTTAGTCGAGGAGTGACAAATTGTTAGAGTTTATGCTGATAGATGGCGTAGGTTGGATCGTTTTTTTTTCTAAGTTCTTGATGAGAAACATTGCAAACGATTATGTTAATATTCGAGGTTTATGTAATCAAATTAAACGGTAATTAACTAGTTTAATAATTGAGAGATTATTGATTATCGTTTGGTTATTAGTTAATTGAGCGGGGAAAAGCAATACGGAGAAATTTACAGAGATAAAAACCTCAGATGTTTTTTTTTTGTAATTCTAATGATTTTGTAAAAAAAGTTTTCAATTTTTCTTTTTATTTGTTTATTTTTTAAGTTTTTATAGTAAGGATGATAAGTTAATCTATGATACTAAAATTAACCCACGTTCAATTATTTTTGATTTTTTTCATTAATTAAATCACAATAAAAAAGAGCATTCGGCATCCGAAATGGAAGTAGATTTCATATTATATTATTTCATTTATGTGGACAAAACAACTGCAAAAGTAAAATTTCTTAAAAATTATCGTAAGATGGATATTTTTTGATTTAGAAAAATATTTAAATATATATATATATTGAAGCTTAATTTCTCAGCTTTCAAATGTATTTTACAGAAATTGAATATTTCGACGCGTTCAAAAGTTATTTAAAGAAGCTATAGTGAGAGTATGAAATTTTCAAAATTAATAAATGCTGTAATTTCTAAACTAATTAACCGATTGAGCTCAGATTTGAACTTGACCTTCCTAATCGTCTATAAAAAAAGTATGTTGAGCTTCATTAGGATCCCTTAAGAATTGTTAACGCTATCGAGCTCAAAACTGTCATAAGTGCAAGTTAAAGCGCTCAGGTATGGAATATGCGCACAGTAAAAAATTTTGCGTCCTTGCGTCAAACAACTTAGTGTTAAAAATTTTTGTGTTAAATATTTAACATAAAAATTTTTAACACAAAATTTTTTAACGCAATGACGAAAATTTTTTACTGTGCGGGAAGTTGCGGGGATGGCTTTTAGGGTCAATCGTTTTCCTAATTTTTGTATTTTAAAATAATTAATATCACAAAAATACTATACAATAATAAAATAAATAACTTTCAAAAATAATAATAATAATAATAAACTTACCTTTTTGTTATTCTTATAATTAATAAATTCAAAATAATAGCTTAATTTATTGTATTACATAACAATTATATAAAGAAACTAATTAACGTCAAAACTAAATATTTTTTGTCACAAAAAAGTTTTACAAATTATTGATTCATAAATTTATATAAGATTACATTTTTATGTTAAAAATTGAAAAATTTTATGAAAAAAAAAAATTATCTGTATATTTGATTTAAAATACTAATTAACTCACACTCTTTACACATTAAATCTTGTAAACTTAGAGTCATTTCTATAAAACATAACACGTCAATTATATTTCAATAAAAAATACTGTTATGGTTGACTAGACACTGCTCGGGCATACTAGGTACTCGAGCCAAGAAAATTTGTAGCGCTCTCCCCGCCCTGATTAGAAAAAAAGATTTGAAAAGATTCGAAATGACTCAAAGCGATTAAAAAAGATTCAACTAGAAAAAAATATATATATAAATTTTGTATGGGTTGAATTGTTTTAAATCTTTTTTTTTTTTAATAAGGGCGTCGCATACTGCTATTTTCTTAGAATGAAGATAATTATGACTCGAGATTAAATAATTGTTTTAGCTAAATTTTAATAATCCTAATGGGAAAAAATATTTCTTAGTTTAATAAACTATTTTATCAAGATGAGATAAAATAATCTCAAGGACAGTATGAAATTTTACTGGTGAATTAATTGAAAATTTCAAGTCTAAGTAATAAAAGTCTTGAAAATTATTTTCTTGCCCCGATAAAATTTTCGATTCCAATTCAAAATGCACAAAATTTTTTTGAGCCGAAAAAAAAATTTATCGGGGCATGAAATCTGTTATTTCTGTGTAGAAAATATAAAATCACACGCTAAAGACAAAAATACTCACAGATCAATCACAATAATCGGTATTAAAATTGCAAAACAAAACATATTTACTAATTCGATGATTGACTTTTCCTCTATTTGAATCACTCGTGAGTGTTTGACAGAACTATTCGACTTGGGGTAAAATAATCCGTGGTTGTGCTCTCAATCTCTCAATGAATTGTCGTCGCTCCTTTTCTTGTCTTTGATATTTCAAGTGAATGTGGGAGACAAGAAGCTCAATTCCAAAAATGACCAAGCTCCACAGCAAAGTAGCTGCAAACACAATTACATAAAACACCAAGTTCTCAAAGTCGATCCGTTCATAGTTTTCAGCTTCTTTGATTTTCTCCATCTTCTCTATTTTTTTCCATAGGTTTTTTATTATCTCTTCACCGTGATGGTAAATTAATCCTGTTTCCACCGGTATTGAACGGACTTCATCAATTTTGTCCTTCAGCGCCCAGTTCTTTTTTGTCCGAAACACAAAATATTTCTTGAACGTGATTTCCTTTGATACGTAAAGATTTTGAAGCTCTAAGACATTACTGAGTTGCTTTATAGTCAAGTCAATTTGTTGGGCTTCTTTCGCACATTTTTTCAGATCAAGAGAATTCAATTGATGCAAGTATTTCTGGTCCGCTTCGGTCACCCATAATTTTTCATTAATCATGTCTCTTTCCAATAACGGACTATAAAACACGTGGTATTTGTTGTCTAATAAGTCCTTTAGGGTTTCGACATTGCGTCTTGCAGGTTGGGATAGAATGGCCGATATTTGTCCTTGGAATTCGGGCATCACCACAAAAATGAATAAAAATCCGAAAAAATAAATGATCTTCATCGAAAGACGTCCCATTGGAGATATTATCCCCATGTTCAGTGACATGCTCACAATGTCCATGATTCCTCTGCCTACGTTAAAATTATTACTCATGATTATGATTACTGCAATCAAGAACAACACCAAGAGTGTGATGAGGATGAACTGAAGATTTATTTGGACTTCGGTGAGTGCCGTCAAATAATCTGTTTTCTTCGTCAGAATTGAATACTGGTTTTCATCATACTGTGTCACAAAATCAGTCAATCTAGGATTTGTGTCAGCTAATTGATTCATGACGTTTTTCGCATCGTACCGACGATTTAAAAGTTTTTCGTCATAACCGTATCCTATTATCTTAGAATCATTACTTATTTCGGAGATATGAAATGATACTGTTACTTTCATATAATCAGGTAATGAAGTCAATACGACGTCTTTGATCTTGTCAATAGATTTCATGAGCTCAATAATATGTCTCTGCTTGTACTGTTCGGGTTCATTTATTTGAATGATAGGAGCCATTAATTTTATTTCATGACCACCCAAATACTGAGTTTTATCAAAATGAATATTTTTATAGTTGTTCTTCAAATCTGAAAATCAATTGAGAGGAATAATTTAGCTTATACAATTGCATCTTAAATTATATTATTAAAACTTGAAAATTACCTTTTGGATAATGCAATCTGTATAGTGTGAACTTTGTTTTACTACTACTATTGGCATTTGCAAATTTAACTTGATTCCAAGGTGGCGGAGCGTATTGTGTGTAAGGATTCAGAGTGTAGACCATGGTTGAATCTTTTTTATCATCATAACACATATAGTATGATATTAAAATATCGAGCCTTCCAAGGAATGAGAGAACCATAAAAGCGTTTTTATCATGCGTCCCTTCAGAAATGTCGAGAATGAACATTGGTGACTTTATGTTCCAGATTGTTGAGCCCATGAACTCAAAGATGAGTTGTATCAGTTTCTCCAGAGATTCAAATCTAAGGATATATGTAGGATAGCTGGGAAGATACCCTTCGATTTGATTCCGTCTCTGATCACCATGTATGACAATCAGCGGTCTTCCATTGTCAATACTCCCGCTTGCCACTTGGTCATCAACTAAGTCAGAAGATATTATCAGTGGGTAAGAATTATTTGAAAAAACTCTATCAATCAATTCCATCTGCAAGAAAAATAAGTTATTTTAAAAACAATTAACAATTATTTAAATTAAAAAAAAAGTCTGGTCACGCTTGAGCTCAAGACGTGCAAAATAATCAACTTACCGTATGATTGATAAGGTGTGATTTGATTTTTGAACTGTGAATGCTGTTTCCATTCGAAAAGTGACCAGTAAATACGCAAAAGCAGCATAAAATAACTTTAATCAGCTGCATTATTAATCTGTTGATATTTAATTTAGAAAATGAACCCTGCACTTTGATATATTTAAAAAAGCGACGTTGATTTGACTGACGAGCTAGCAACTGAGCAGTTTGAAGTAAAGTTGCCGACTGAATGCTTTGCAATGTTTGTGACTCTGTTTTTAATTGTTGCTAATGACAACCACAGCTCACAATGTGGCAAAACATCGTAAAAACTAGTGATGAGCTTCGTGTAAAAGACACGTCAACTAGGTCAGCTCTATTACTTGGTTCTGAAAAAAGAGTTTTTATTGCTTCCATAAAACTGGCTGAGGCCTCCACAAGAGCTGCTGGTGCTGTAGAAACTATCGACTGAAAATTGCCCGGGAGTTGTGCCCTAGCTCTTTCATTCCACTAATTTTTCGTCGGTAAATAAATAATAACATGCATTACAAACATGACGGTCGCGTATTTTTATTCAGTATAACTAACATCTCGATTTATTATTAAATAGTACAAGAAATAAATATAGGAGGAATTAAATATTTTAAATTGATTGACTCTGCAACCCATTCCTGGAATTTTCTGCTATTCACAAGCTCAATACACGGAGAGAAAAATATGGAAATCATTCCTATAATTTTAATGAAATATTTTCCTATACCATTTTAGGAGCGATTACTTAAATTATGGGAATTATACCCATAATTTTTGGGAAACGTTACTATAATTATGGGAATGGTTTCTATAATTATAGGAACGATACCTATAATTAAAACTGTAATATCGGCATGATTCCCATAATATATAGGAATGGTTCCCATAATATATAGGAATGGTTCCTATAATATATAGGAATAGTTTCCATAATATTATAGGCGGCTCAACGTATGTATTCTAAATAAATAATTTGCTTTGAAAATAAAATGAAATTGTGAAAATAAACCATGAATTTCCATATCTATTTTGCTCCTACAATTGTATAGTGAGAAAATATTATCCTTTTTATTAGAGAAACTTTGGAATTGCTACAATATTTTTCAATATTATTTAACACAATAATCACTGAGCTGGAATAAATAATTTAAGATTAAGTACACACGTGAATAAAAATTATGAGAAAGAAATTTTTTCACTCTAGTGAAAGGTCAATTTTTATTTACAAAAAAAAATGTTATTAGCAAAAAAATACATGATAATTACTTTATATTTTTAAAGTGATTGCTTCATTATTAAGAAAATAAACTTTTTTCTATTATTATGTGCGTAATTTCCATAATATTATAGGAACCATTCCTATAATATTATAGGAACCATTCCCATAATATTATAGGAACCATTCCCATAATATATTGAAGCTATTCCATTATTGTATAGGAACGTTTCCCATAAATTATGGGTATGGTTCCCATAATGAGTATAGGATTATTGCCTATAATGATAATTTTATTATAGGATCCATTCCCATAATTGTTGGAAAGATTCCTATAAATTTCTCTCCGTGTACGCTCAAAAAATTTATTATTATTAAGTTCAGAGCGTTTCAAACTAATAAAATCTGAAGAGTATATGTCAACTATAGTGACACACAAAAACCATGTTAAAAGAGCGCAACACTATTACCCGCGTTTGTGTTAGCCTATTACTGAGTAAAAATACACAAAAACCATAATCATACCTTGATTAAAAATTTAAATGAAATTAATATTATCTAGTGTTGTAAGTGTTCTCAATTTTATATATTGAAAAAAAAGATAAAATTGTTTAAATAAATTAACTATTTCATTTTTAATATTTGGTGGTTTATCGTTTTATTCAAAAACTCCGGCTATTTAGGATTAATTGTCGGGGATTTTTTGTCATGGGAATATTTTGTCCGGGATATTTTGTCGAGGGATCAAAAATCATGGAACCGATACAATTACCCTTAAAATTTAAAGTAGATTGAACACCTATAACCCGAGATAAATTCAATTAAAAATTGGATATTTAACATTGATTGCATAAGTTTACTGCAGTTCTGTACTAGTTTCTTAGTTATAAAAAAAAAATTAACTGTTAGAAACTTTAAAAAAACTGAGAGTCTTTTAATGTATTTGTTGTGAGTTTAAAAAAAAATCAAAAAAAATTTTTGACTTCAACAATTTATGAAAAAGCATATATGTTCGGAGTCGGACTGAAACAATTGTATGGGTTTGCGTCTCCACAGATACAATTTTCCGTAAAAATTATGGGTTACTTAGCTACAAGCTCATATACTTTTGCGGCGCGTATAATCTCTAATTTTTTGACAATATTGTACCATGACAACTATTTTAAGATATTGAAGATATCGAAAGTCGAGTCCTGGATTACGACATTCATATCGTAATTTTTAATAAAATTTTTTTTTCGTGTATAAGCCTTTTAAGCCATCAACTTTTGGGTCTTGGTAATTAGCTTCATTATTTCCTTTTCTGATGCCCTAATCACCTGGTTTAATATCCGAGTCAAAACTGAAAATTTGCACAAAACATTTGATCTATATAACGATCTGTTAGAATTTTGTAGTTTGTTGGAATTGTACAAAAAAACTCAAAACTATCGATTAAGATTTAGGGAATTACGTAATTTTTTAAACCTCAATAACAAATCATTAAAATTTTTGTTTCAAGTCCATATAGTAGGAACCAATCAAAATACTTTAGACTTCTCAAGACAAATTAGTTAAACACAAACAATGAACAATGATAACTTATTACTCAAAGCAATTAAAAATAAATACCAGTTTACCTATCGTTATCACCAGCGAAGTATTTACGTTAAAAGTTTCTGCGTCAGTATATACTTGATAGTGCAAATTAGTAAGTCTACTGGAAAAAATTGTAGAAATACATGAATAGATTGAAAAACAGTCGAAACAATGGGTGATGATGGTATTCATTGAAGAAAACAATGCTCGAAATTGTTCAATTTTCATTGATCATGGTATTTAGCACTTTATTTTTCAAGCAAATCTTTATCTAATTATTAAAAACTACACCGTAAAAAATTTGCGGAATGGATGATTTTTTATTGATTCAAATTCTCCCGGAATGTGAATTTAATTTAATTTATAGTATTAATAGAAAAAAAACCGCGGAGTGAAGTTGCGATTTTTTTTTGTGATGAATAAAAAAAAGTAGTTATTACTCATCTAAAAATTACAAAGTGCTTATTTAGAAATTTCAATAATTAATATAACTTTTTTCAACAAGAAGCATTTTTTGATAAATTATCTCTATAATAATTTATTAAATAAGAAATCTTAAAAGTTGCCATATTTAAGTTAATTTTAGTAAGATACAAATAATTTATTTTATTTAATTACACGTTGTAATGTTAATGATTTATTATTTTTTACTTTTTACTATTTACTATTTTTAAATTGGATAAAACTTGTTTCAGTTAAAGGTGTAGTCTAGTTCGTCGGCTAAAAAAATAGGCGATTTTTGAGAATTTCTCGTGAGCTTGCTATGAAGAATATGTCTACAAAATTTGTTAGGGGTGACAAATAAAGTCTTAAATTACAAAAATAATTAAATTAATTTTTTTCTTTTTTTTTTTACACAAAATTTGTGTAGGCAGGTCGGTTCTTACACGATACCTCGGTGATGGCTTGTCCGAAATAAAAAACTGAAGTGTTTTAGATTCGGTATGACAATGAATACAAAATAGATTATTGATACTAATTTTTAACAATTTTTGTTAATTTTAAATAACAAAAACCCATAAAATTGAAAAATTGTTTTTTTTTTTGTTTTTATTTGGTAAAAAAAAGTAAAAAAGTAATAGTAAAAATAAATATTTTACGATGATAATATTAGTCGATTTTGCACTGATAGAAGGATTTATTAACTATATATATTAATAATTTGATTTATTTGAAGATAATAATTTAATTTATTAAATTTTAATAAATATTTTTTAACATTCAATAAATATTTATTTGGGAGAAAAGTACATTTATTAATATTTAATAAATATTTATTAATAGTTAACAAATATTTATTAACAGTTAATAAATATTTTGTTGAGTGAATTTGTTTGGCTTGCAATGTCATATGATATGAAGGTTGCTTATAAACAAAAATCATCTTTAGGGGAGGGGGGGAGGGGCAAAATGGGGCAGGGGTGGCAAAATGGGGTACCCCCAAAATTTCGTAAAAAAATTTTTTTTTTCCAAAAAGCTTTTTTAGCTTTCTAAAATATATTTTAACGTCATTTTCTACAATTTCAGAGGAAAAAAAATTTTTTAATTAAAAAAAATTTCTTTTCTAATTTTTTTTACATGCAGTAAAAAAATTTTCGTCAAATTCAACACAAATCTTTGTGTTACTGACTGTTTTTACACAAACTAATGTCAATTCTACATTCTAGTATGTTAAATCAACACATGAGAATGTAAAATTATACACACTAAAGTGTAATTTGCTACACAAAAATTTTTACACTTCATAAATTGACGAAAAATTTTTTACTGTGAAGTAATTTTTATCGTCATTGTGCATCATAATAATTTTTTTTTCACATCTAAAATTTTTTTTATTAAATTTTTAAGTTCTCACTTTACAAATAAATGATTTAAAAAAAAAAAAATCGGGAAGTCATTGGTTCCAAGCCAGTTTTCGAAAATCAAGTTCTAATCTGATCTCCACATTTTTAAGGTCCTAAGAAGTAGCTCTTAATACTCCTACGAAGATTTCTATCAAGGTGTGTGTGTGTGTGTGTGCACTGATAGAAATTTTAACTTGACTCAAGAGCAAAAATCATGAACTAAGAACACCAATTGGAAGAAAATGAATTTCTTGAGCCAAAAGGAAAAATTCTTGAGTCATGATAGATCCTCTTGAGTTAAGAAAATATATCTTGACCCAAGAATTTTTACTCTTGGCTCAAGAAATTCATTTTCTCCCAATTGGTGTTCTTGGTTCAAGATTTTTACTCTTGAGTCTAGTTAAAATTACTATCAGGTTCAGCGAAACTTAGACTTCCTCATAAATTGAAAATAACTTTTTTCTTTTAACAGCTTCTAAACAGATGTAACAATCAATTCCAAAATCTAAACAGTTCTTTAATTTAAAAAACAACGTTGACTGCTGCAAACCGCATCAAAATCAGGTGATGTGTTGAAGAGAAATCGTACACTAATTATTTTAAAAAAGTGTCTTTTTCAAATAACGTCGAATTGATTCTCGAATTATTTTTGATGACATAATTTAACTATGAATGCTAAGAAAACTGAGTCAGAGGCTGCCAATTGCTTCAAAATCATTTGGTACGCTTGTGAGATATATAATTTAAAAAGTAAAATCTTCAGGCCTACAAGATTATTCAACTTAAAAAAATTTTCCTGAATCCC